TGGAAAATAAATCATTCAAATTGTTTTCATTAATACCATCGCTATAATTGAGTATTTCAAATATTTTTAAGAGTAGATATTACAATAGATAATGTATTGTATATGATATGATAGTAAAGTATCTGTAATGATATGTATTATCAAACTTTATTGGTATGTATTGTTAATACCAATCGTTTGCATAATCATATCTTTGACCGTAATATTTAATATTCTTGAGTTTTCTAAATTTGGTGTAAACTTCTGTAAAAGTTTTATCATTGAGTTTATCATTGATTTGTTTTTGATAATCAATAAATTGTTGGTTAATCTCATCAGATTCACCGTACAAAGTGATTGTGTGTAGTCTTCGTAAACGTGACAACTCATCCCATATGTCTTTACCAAATACTTGAACATAATAGCCATCGATTGGTAGATATGATTGTTTAATTTGAAGTGTTAGATGTTGTAGTTGTGGAAAATTTATATCAATAGTATCAATATCATAGACACGGATGAAGTAGCCATAGAAAATCAGTGTTAAATGTGTTAATTGTTTTAATTGAGTTAAGAATTTGAAGCCAAAGTTTTGTCCCCAAAAATCAAAACTATTATTACCAACAATTTCAAGACGTTTTAATTGTTTATAGTTTGCATTAAGTGATATCCAAATAGTTTGCATTAGATTTATTTGATAGACACTCAGTCTAAGTGCGAGTCTCTTTAGTTTACGACAATTGACACCAATGTCTCTCAAATGAATTGGCACTAAATCACTAATCAATCGCTTCTTTTTATTATTTACCATAAGATTTGTCTCGTGAACATCAAAGTCTAGATCACTTGGATCATCATTTTCACTATCAACTGAATGGTTAGTATCAATATAATCATCGTAATGATTGTAATAAGTGATCCTTAAGTCAATCAACTCCTCCATCCGTGTCAATACATTTGTTAATATTATAAACGACTGTCTGTTACAAAGCTTATCAATAGTTACATCAATTGATTTCATTTGTTTTGTATAATTTATTGCCAACACTTCAATACTGCTAACGTTATTATCGCTGAAACGAAATGATAATTTAGTCAACTTTTTGAACGCCATTTGGTTGTCATCGGGAGTTCGTGGCAGTGGAAAGCACTTGTTATATGAAAACCAATAGCGATGAGCATTGAAGTAGACATCAACTGACGAGACATTAGTACATAAAATGATATTCTTGTCGATACAGTTCATCAGTTTTTTCAGTCTTTTATTGCTTTTAAACATTGGTTCTTCATATAAATCAAATCTTATTGTTTTCAATTGTTTGGCAAACTTTTGAAAGAAGCGATCAATTGTTGGCAATTCTAACCGATAATTATACTCAAATCTGATGTCTCTTAAGTGTCGGCAGTTTCTTATAATTGAATCTAATATTGAATTATTGATCGGAAAATCATAATTCTTGAACTCAATTCTTGTAATATTAGGACACTTCTTAAATATCGATTCAAATGACTTCCATTTAATTCTCTTGTGTTTGAAATGATTATCAAAAATCATTTCATTTTGTTTACTAAATACTAAACTTTTCCATTGTTTGCAAATGCATTCGTATTTGAATTTATCTTCAAATGACAAATAAGACAATAAGAGTTGCGACAAATCGTCACCAAATCTGGAAAATGAGTCTTTAGTTGAGGGATAAATTGTGCGATCATTTAACGTTTGATTAGATATCACATTTGGATCAGTTGGTGATAATGTATGAGTATTACAATTAATATCATTGGATATGTCAACAGCTAAGCTCTGTTTAATGACTGATTCAATAGTTTCTTCATATCTCTTAACAATATCAGTCATTGAATCACTTAATGTCTCGTTTGGATTACTATAAAGTGATTGAAAATATTTATCCAATTTTAAACGATAATTAATTGCCATAAACTGGTTATCATTTAAAGAGTCATCGATATCATCAACATTTTCATTACTATAATCATCATCTGATGGCTCAACTGTTAATCCCTGATTGATGACCGACTCAATAGTTTCTGCATATCCTTCAGTAATGACAGTAATTGATTCACTCGATGGCTCATTTGGATTACCATTTGGTGATTCATGAGATTCATCTGCAGAGTCATCGACATCAATACCTTCACTATTATTACTATAATCATCATCTGATTGTCCAACAGTTAATCCATGATTGATGACTGACTCAATAGTTTCTGCATATCTATCAGTCAAAGTAGTTGTTTGCTTAACACTAGCGTTGAATGCAATCAATGGATCAGATGTTGGCGATTGTCTTTCAATACCGAAGACATCATAATAGTCTTCATTTTTCTTAATTTTATTTATCAAAAACTTATTGTTTGTAACTTCATTGACAAAAATGGGTGGAAGTGTTTGGTGATAGTCTTGTTTGATGATTGGTCTGACATAAGTTGGATGAACTCTTCGGATACCATTCTTGTAGATCACTTCCGACTGAGTAAACACTTTAATCACTTTTAGCTCATATTTGGCTTTCTTTACATCCATTTATATACCAATTGATTATCAAATCAAATGATGATATTTATGAAGACATTTGTTGTTGTTTTTGATGTAAACTGTGATTAAAATTGAGGTTAAGTTTAGTCATAGAAAACATATGAATGAATAATATGTTTGAAAAATACATAACATATGTTTGCAATCAATCAATGAATTGAATAATTAATTCAAATTAGTTTTATATTAATATTTAAATATTATTTCAATTCGAATACAAAAATATTAACAACAAAAACAAAACAAAACATTACATGTATTCATATATTAAACAGATATTCGATTAATATTTGTATAATAATATCTATAATATATTAGTATCGCCTTTGACTATGACTTGTCTGCATAACAATTATTGATAACTTTAATAGTATTAGATTTAATGGTTAATGCATTTAATACATGATTTATTGTGTAATATTTAAAACATTCGATAAAATATAAATACGTGTTAAAAGAGTGACATGTATTACATTCACATGTTTTATACAGTAATTTAATTTACTGTATATTAATAGTGATGTAATGTTATGTAGATATCAATGCCATCTCTATTAGTACTAACAAACTATTAATATTAATATTAATTAATACATAACCTTATTATTGGGCAAATTATTTTAGCTTTTAAATTACCACTAAATGTACACTATTTACAGTATATACAGTGTATTATCATATAATAAAGTTTACAATAATTTAATAATTATTATTAAAATTACATAACATTTGATGGTTTAAATCTATATTAAATTTATAACTATATATATATTTAGATAAATTAGTTTATGTTAGGTTAAGTCAAGCGGTATAACAATATATGAACTAAAGTAAGAAACATCACAATTATTTAACATTATTATTATTATCAATATATAAATTATAAATAAAAAATTTATTATTATTTATATACACAATATAAAGATTAACGTTTGAATATCTCGCGAAAAAATATTATTTATAAAACAGATTTAATTATAAAAGTCTAGATATTTGACAAATTTATAGATTTTTTAAAACGTATACTCATTTGCAGATACAATATGTTTCGATACAATCTTATGTCAAAGTTATTGAATAACAGGTAAAATATATTTATAAAATTAAGTCATATTTTATTAATAAGTTTGTCATATATATTGTTAAGATATAAGGCGACAATTATATTACCAATTATTTCTGTTTATTGGAGTTATAGTAATAATATAACAATGAATAAGACAATCAAACAATTAATCTGTTTTAATGCAAATAAAAGGAATAATAATAATAATAATAATAATAATAATWAKAATATATATATAATAATAATAATAATAATAGGTATAAATAATTAGACTATAYATATATATATAACTTTTATATTTAAATATTTAATTGTAAATACAATAAGATCTATGAATTTGGCAAACTTTTGGATACATAACAAGTCAAACAATACTGACATTCAATCAAATATTAGCAAACATAAGGAAAGTGTGTTTAGTTTAAGAGTTGCAAAAATGGCTGATTTAAAGGATTATCTTTCGTGGTTTGCTTTGATTGGTATCGATAAATGCGATCACAGACCTGGCGGTGTGGGTACCGGTTGTCTAGTGTTTGGGGGTAACTATACAATAGTAACGGCTGCACATGTTGTTCACGGATGCAAAAAAATACTCTATAAGTTTGCCGATCAAAATGCTTTCAGTAGCGGTAGAGTAGTTTTTGTCGATCCCAGCATTGATTTAGCACTGATTGAAATTGATATTCAAGATTGTTTTGATCAGAAAATCATTGATATCTGTAATGTTGAGCCAGAATTTGGTGATAACATCGTGTCAATGGGTTTTTATAAGAAACAGTTTTTTATTAACACCGGTTTCATCATTTGTCCCAAATCTTCCTATTTTGTCACATATACTAACACTTTATATACAGACATTGGATGGTCTGATATGTATTATTTGATGCACAACTGTGTCTGTGAACATGGATTTTCTGGTGGTCCTGTTTTCAATTATTACCAACAATTAATTGGTAATACATCCTTGAAGCATTTAAATATATATCAGGGTGCAACACCGGCTAGATATTTGTTAGGTAAATCTAAGAAATCATTTTTGTTGACTATTTATCATATTTTTTAAATAAATTATTTTTAAAATAAAGATTTAATTAAAAGAGCTAATGATTATCGGACTAAATATAAGACAAATCAATTATTTGAACGATCGATAATATTAGGAGTCGAGTGGCAGTGGATGAGAGGAATCGGTTATTGTATATTCAATACAATTTTGTCTCCACTTGATTAGTATATACAGTATATATATATATATATATATATATATATATATATATATAAATATTGACCAAATTATAATAATAATATTAATTAAATTAATATAATCTAATTTATTCAAGTGAATGGTTAGATTTTGATCTAATTATAATTAATATCAATGGAGTGCCGATTGAATCATTAGACCAGATCAGCCATGAACTGCATAAGTATATCGACCAAGAGATAGACATAACAGTAAAATACTACAAACAAGAATCAAAGATTAAAACAATTCATGTAAAACCTAAGGATCTGTACGCTGTTTAACAATATTTTATTATTGATTTTATTTTTATTTTAATTATACATTAAATGTATACTCTATTGTATTATTTAAAAATCTATTTTAAATACTAAAATTTCATTATTTGTTGATTAAAACAATTCTATAAAATAAATAGTTTTCATAATAAAAATCATTTAGTTATTAGAAATTCAATATATTTTAATCAATTAATTGATTAATTGATTATTTTCTTCATCACTCAACTTATAACCGATATGTGTATCACATTCTCTGTCAAAGTCATCAAAATTTAAATGTTTTGTTGACTTTAAAAAATCATTTAATGGACAGTCAGTCATATACTGACAATTTGTTAATTTAATATGATATGGTGTGCCCGTAAAACTGTCATTAAAGTAGAAAAGTCTAACAAAATAATCATAATTTGTGGCTTTGGCTGCTTTACCGATGATGACTGATTTGCGGTGCAATTCAAACAAAAAAGATGCGCCAAATGGGGGCAAATTGTGGTCATATATGTCGAGCGCATGAAGTAAAGCAATTATATTGATGTCATGTGTAGAGTAAACGTATAATTTTTTACTATCGTTTAATTTGTTTAAAACGTTCATAATATTTGCGGTCAACTCTTTGATTAAACCTCCGGCTTTAAAACGTTTGAACACTGAACTGTTCCAACCGATAGTATAGGACATAATATGACTTTCCCGCAAACGATTCACAATCGACAACTGTTCCGTTTTTGACCAAATGTGAGACCAATAAAAATCATTAGAGATCTCTATGTCGAGTAAATCGTGAAGACGGTGTGCATCAGCTATTGTGACTATATCTGTGCCGACAATATCACTCAGGTATCGATAAAATTGATTATTTTCTTTCAAAAATTGTTGAACACCTGTTGATTGTAGAACTCGGGACAACTCGAGATCACAAATAGGACAGTGTCTGGAGTTTAGTGTATAATCTTTATTTCGGGGCATAAATGTCTCGACTGTTATCGGCTGCCAAACACTACTTAATTGTTGGCTACCGGTGCTGTCATTCCATTTCCAATTGAAATGTTTCGGTGGATAAGCGCCGGCCAACAAACACGAGACACTTTCCAAACACCGATCGGTTAGTGAACTTCGAGCGTATACTTCGCGCGGAGAATACTGTTCGCCAAAGTAATTGTGATACTCTTGTCGTATGAATTGTCCAAAACTATACATCCGATATCTTCCCAGTGCTGTCAACTCATTGAAACCCATTGGCCAGTATTTGATGCTTTTATAGGGATCGTTAGGTGGAAAATACGATTCGGTGGGCGCTCTGTCTCCATGTCTGTGAACTATTTGCAACAATTTTAAGGTTGAAATGTCGTGATTTGGCCAACCATTTCTTGATTTTGTTGTTAAAATAATTAATAAAATAATTATATAAAAATGTTTCAAATATTTTTTCATAATTTCAAATATCAATTCATATGCTATATATTAATATATGATAATTTCAATTTGTAATTATAATTATTTGTTATTAAAGCAATTTCACGCTCAAGTAATAAATTTATAGTGTTTTTAGTACAACTCTTTTAAAATATGCTATTTTGTTGAAATTTCAGAATATTACTGATTTTTATCACAAAATTATTAAATTAATAAATTTTATTTTGAATCAGTTATATATGATATTTTTAAATAATTTTGTTAAATTATAAATAACATAAAAATATAATGCAAGACACTCTGCTACAGGTCAAACTACAACAGACTAATTTTTTATGACAATGTAAATTTGTAGTCAAGAAATAATAGTTTAATATAAAAAAAGAATCATCAAAATCGGATTGGTACTTTTATTTTTATACCTTGTTAAATTTGTCATAAATCACATTGTATAAAATTGTCTAAAATAAAATTGACGTTATTTATGACTATTATATATTTAGAAGATTAATTTTCAATTATCTTATTATTTCTAAAAACAAAATTTTATTATGCCGACTAGTTTTCGAAATAATCGACTTTCAATATAAATTACACTATTGCAATTTGATATTCTAATTTATATTGAAAGTCGATTATTTCGAAAACTAGTCGACATATTAAAATTTTGTTTTTAGATTTAATGATAACATGAAAATCTTCATTTAATAAGTATATAGTATTTACAAATAACGTCAATTTTATTTTAGACAATTTTATACAATGTGATTTATGACAAATTTAACAAGGTATAAAAATAAAAGTACCAATCCGATTTTGATGATTCTTTTTTTATATTAAACTATTATTTCTTGACTACAAATTTACATTGTCATAAAAAATTAGTCTGTTGTAGTTTGACCTGTAGCAGAGTGTCTTGCGTTGGTCCCGATATTTTGTATATCTGGTCATCCTAGTTTTGTGATTTCGTGTATATTAAGTGTGGTCGATATGATATTCTTAAATGTATTTTACAGAATTAAATTATCTCTAACCGTTTAAAAGTTATTCAAAAAATACGCCGCTCAAGATCGATTGACCGCCTTCTTATATATATATATATACAATACGTTACAATACGTATAATACAATATGAATATAATATAATAATAATAGTAAATATGAAATGATATCTAATACATGTGTAGATATTATGTAAATATTATGTAATTTATGTAAAGAGTGAATATTATGTAAATACTGTATATATTAATAGTATAGTAAATACAAGACATGAGATTCTGTATTGAAATACTAAATAATTAAAATGTTTTCAATATATAATAATGAGTCCAACGATTGTCATCGTAATTGACATCAATGGATAAATGTGTAAAACTATTGAACCATAGGATGAATTGGATACGAAAGGGCAGAGCTTGAAGTTTTTGCAAAACAGTTGATCCACTTTGGGATCTAAAGACTTGCATTTGTTGCCATTGAATGTGTTTCCGTTTTTAGGACACTCTTCCTTTGCTATGTCAAACGTTTTGTTCAAATTGTCATAATTAACATCAGGACAGTCGGGTTTCTAACAATAAAACAATTGTATTGATAAATATTTATAAACTAATAGCAAATATTATAATGTTGTGATTCATATGATTAAACCAAAACCTGTGTTAATTSAACCCAAAACTTACCAAATAGTTTAGTGAACAGTGATGTTGTAGATGAAGACAACAGTCTTGTTGTGATTTATATCCGATGGTTACTGTGTCGTAACCCCACCGCTCTCGTAGGCATTCATTCAAATCACTGATCATTTTATAACATTTGACTAAATCATATCCCCAAACATCTGACCCTATCATACACTGCGATAATAATATCAGAATAATTGTCAACAACTGGTTGTGCATTGTTTCGACAAATCAATCAATTATATGAGTTAAGCAATAATTGTGTCAAATATATGAATAAATTCAACGGAAGTCAGTATTGAATGTCTAGATTTGTAAAAGTATTGTTTAATCACTTTTCGATTTTCAATTCAATTATGTTTTTCTCGTGAATTTTACTTTAAGTTAAAAAATATGTTTTCTGTACAATATTTTACTTGGATTTCTATTTTTATATTACAGTATTAAAATAATAGCTTAAATCGATAGTTTTCATTTGAAGTTCAATTTGTTATTATTTGACAATAATTATTACAATTATCTATACTTTTTTATACAGTACTAAATATGTAATACATACAGGAATAATAATTTAATTTGATATTATAAATATAAAAATGTCATTTAATCCTTTATTAACGATTAATATAAAAAATAATCAATCAAATCATTAGGTATACAATATTAACATAAAAAAATTTTTAAATTTTTTAGTAATTTAAAAAAAACTTATCAGCTATAGTGATTTATTTTATTTTTGTTTKGTTAAACTGCATGAATGACWACATGATTAATAMTATAATTTATATAATTGAAATAAATAATAATATATTGAATGCATTTGTATTGACAAACTACAGTACTATTAGATTAGATTATTGTTATTTATAAAAAATATATCAAATTATAAATATTATTATTTATTGTATTGTTTATACAATACTTTATTTAAAAAATATTATATTTAACGTCTATTTTTATCTAATGATAATGTATATAATTTAACATAACAACATAAACTACCTTTATTTTAATAATCTAACTATATATATACGATACACTAATATAAACGATAAAGAGTGCATTGTTCAATTATTAATTTAATTGAAATGCTTACTTAAAACAAAATTTAATAAATTACTGTATTTTTGGTTAATAATACAAATAATACTTATTATTTAATTTAAAAAGTTTAACTAACTAATAAAGTTTTTTATTTTGTTTTAAAAGTTTATATGTAAATTGAAATAATGTGGGACTGTCAGCCAACAAAACAAAACATTGAATATAATATATTAAAAAATTCATTCAAATTAATTGATAAATATAAATCAACTATTAAAATATCTCCCGATATATATAAACGCTTTAAAGCGGAAAATAAACCAGGAATTATAGCTAGGACATTTTTGGATACAAAACTCAAAAATGATATCAACTGGAATAAAATTTTCGACATTCATCATCCAGGTATTTATTTATTGTACTAAAATAATATAATAATTAAATAAAAAATTTAAAAAATAATTATATTATATAATATTTAATACACAAAAATCATAATTTCCATATTAATTATTTATAGTAGTAATTGATTATTATGATGCTGTCGTCAAAACTGGACTTTTATTAAAACAATGTAAAACAAACCGAAACCTTAGTGCCAGTGATAAGCAAACAGTTGAAGAAATATATGACAATACATACCAACTATTATTAATAAGGTTACGTGAATTACATCCGGTTTACCTTATCTTAGATATATTATGGCTTCAATGGGTGGCCCCACTCTACCATAGTATGCGCTTATGTCTTAACACTATTTACGGTACAGTTGATGGCATACGTTGGACACAACCCGATATTATGAGTGACATGAATCGGGAGTGGCGACTGGTGTCCCGTCACTGGCAGGACATACTATTTCCACAACAAAACAGTTATGTAATATATGCCCGAAAAAAACTTAAAGTGTACTCTTGGCTACACTTTGCTGGCTATAACAATACAAGACTATTGCTAAATGGACTGGTAGTTAGTACAGCATTTATTATATATTGTAGAAAACCGAGTATCAAAAAGTTATTGTTATTCACATATTTAGCTGGATTTTCGCTTTTATAATTAATAATAAAAAACTAATTAATTAATCATTAATCAAAATCACTATTACAAATAATGTTTTAGTTAATTTGTATTTTATCGGTAATTATTTTTTTTATAAATAAACAATGTATAATAAAAACTATTAATACAGTACTTATTTAATAAGATGTTTGACCCAATTTTGATTTATAGCTTTTATTGATAATATAATAATATATTAATTAATAATTGTTTATTGTTTATTTATCAGTAATATTGTACAATAATTAAAAAATGTGTTGCAATTATATCAATTGTTAATATAAAATTATTTATTTCTTATGTAAACATGTACATTAAGATATTTTAAAAATTTATTTTAAATAATTTTCTGATTAAATATTCATGTATCAAATTAGTAATAACAAAAAATAAATAAAAGTTTTAATAAATACTTTGTGTTATAWCTTACTAATAGTATTATACTTATAATTATAATTATTGTTCAATGTGGCTCTCAATTACTAAATTAATTAWTTTAAATTTAATAATCTTTTATAATAAAATTACAATTATTACAATTATTACAATTAATTAATAATGCAATTAATATAGTTTAAATATACTKTATATTGTATATTAATGACATGAAAAAGTGCTGATATAAACTATATTTTGATTAATTTATGAAAAATTAAATATTATTTTGAATAACACTACTAATCCAATTAGTATAATCACTGACACGTGTGTATACACCCGGTGTGTTTGGTTCACCACATCCCAGACCCCACGAGACAACTCCTATAATCATCCAAATTGGTGTTTCATCGTATTTAACCAAAAGAGGACCACCTGAGTCATGTTGACAGGCATCCTTACCTCCCAGTGCTTCACCGCCAGCGCACACCATACCGGGCAGTATGTCGTGCCAGTCCCTCAATGTTTCCATACAATAACTATTATTCCAAACATTAAGAGAGACTTCTAGTAATACTTCACTTTGATTTTCCAGATACTGTGTATGACCCCAACCAACTACTGTTGCCAACTGTCCTTCAAATGTATTATTATTTATAGGCAAACATATTGGCCAAACAGTGCGATCGAATTGAAGTACAGGTGTTTTTAGTTTAATAAGAGCCAGATCATCTTTATCAGTCATATTATTATAACCATGGTGGATTATGTAGTCACTAATATCGTGCATCTGAGTACCCCTTTCCCAATAATTGGATACATTTTTAAATAGATGAGCACCTAGTACAATTTTGATATTGCTGATATTCATATTGATTAAACAATGGGCGGCTGTCAATATGTAACGATCATTAATTAGTGAACCGCCACACCAGGGATATGGATGTGACAAATACATGATTGCTGCCATCCATGGATACGAGTGTTGTATAACTTGATTGCCACCCACTATACACGGATTAATTGATTTGTTTGGATTTAATCTGAATAATGTTCAATAAAAATAATTATTAACAGTAAAATTAATTTCATTTAAAATTACAAAAATAATTCAAACCTTTTCTGTAAATATCCACATTTATTGTATAATTGTTGTGAATAAAAATTGTCCAGGTACTCGTTCATTGTATCAAAGTCACTTTCATTAAAATTGGGAATTTTATCTTGATTATAAAGTTTACAAAAATTTAATTGAAATTCATTATTATAGAAACAAAGTGTTATTATTGCAAATATTATTGCAAAAATAATAACAAACAAAACTATGATTTGTTTATAAAACATTTTCTAAATATTATGATAATTATGATAGAAATCATTAGCATTTTATATAAATAATTAATAATTTTTCACTTAATATTAATAATATAAAAAATATTGAAATTTAATTAATTAATGACAAATTGTTTCCCAATAATTTCAATATTATTGTGTGGGTTAATCTTCATGGACAAATTTAATTACTTTATTTAATTTTTATACTAACTTGTATAATACATATAATATATATATACTATAATATATATTGTTTGATTTATTAAATATTGTTTACTTAAAACACAAAAATATCGATTAATAATAAAATAATCGATTTCAATGATTAATTATTAAATATTACTAAATATAAGTAGTAATAATTTACATTGTATTAAAAATAATAAAAAAATATTTTTTTAATATTAATTATAGATTACATGAATATTTTAATAGTAAATTGTCTAATTTAATATCGTTTTTATTTCGTTAACAAGTTTCAGTAGATTTTATTTTTTCAACATTATTTTTGCAACATTTTCTCCAAATAATTAGAAAAATAATAATTAATAGCTATAAATAAAATAAAATATGAGTTGTTAGTTATAATAATTCATTAAAAATAAAAAAAATAAAAAATATTGTATATACCAATAATAATTGTAATAAACAAACAGGTACAGTTGCCCATCTATAACCAAAATGATCCATGATAAAACCTCCAATTATTGGACCACAAGCAGTACTAATTATTTTATTAATAAAATAAAAGATTAATATAAATATTAATTGAAAATTTGAGTATAAATATATATATTTTTAATAACCCAATAGCTTCAGATGATGCAAACAAACCGGATAATATTGATATTGTTGATTGACTTTTAGGAAATCCATAATTGCTATAAAAAATAACTTTCATTATAAAAATGTTATTGAATTTTCTAAAATTCTTATACATAGTTTCCCGATATCCCTGAACAAAACTGGCCACCAATAGTGAGCCGACACCAAATCCCAGAAAAACTTGTGTCACAATTATAAGCCATAAAACACTGTGTAATATAAAATTTATTTAATTAAAAAAATAATATATTTAGCAATTTTAGTTAATATCATACGGTTTAAATGGTAAAAATGGTACAGGTCCAATTAAAGTATAGCATATCAAACTTGATATGCAACCAAATATACTTATTTTAAAACAATTGTCCATACGTTCAGCCATATTACCCCAAACTTGATTTAATAGTGCATATGTTAGGCCTGATATTAAAAATATTGAACCTTTCAATGATGGCGACAAATTAGACATCTTAAAATAATAAAAATATTATTAATTATTTTATTTGATAATTAATTATTATTTTACTAATTAACTTACTGTTTCTAAATGCAAATCAAGTGTAGTTGTATTAAAGCCAATGAGAGCACCGGCATTAAAGTTTATGAATACATTGAGTACTATTGGAAACTTTGATAACATACTCAAGATATTCGTACTTTCAGTGCTTTCAAATTTTTCTAAAAATAAAAAATAACTAAACTATAGTAATAATTGGTTATTAATTAGTTAATAGATTTTAACTAACTTTGAGCATGTATTGATAGAAATGTTATAATAGCGGCACTATTAAGTAATATTCCCAACAATAGGAATGGTAGACAAAATCCACTACTAAAATGATTGCCTATCTGTAAACATTAATGTATACAAAGTTAATATATTTATTAAATAACAATTATTAGTTTAATACTGTATTAAAAAATTAAAAAAATGTTTAAATACTTCATTTAGTACACCACCCAATGCCGGTCCAGATATCATACCAACGGCGTAACACATTTCAACAGTTGCCTAAACATAAATACATATTAATATTTATAATCAATAATATATTTTTAAAAAATTATTGTTTTTACATATAATCTTGATATATGATTTGGAAATAATAAAAATATAGTATTGTAACATGCGGTAAAATATATGCCCATACCCAATCCCATTAATATACGTAATAGTATGGCACAAATTATAAAAACTATTGGTGTATAACACCATTGCAATAAACTAAACAATATAAATAAAAATTAATAATTTTATTTTTTTAAATCTATTAAAAATTGCATTGACATACCCAAATAAAATATTAGCAATACCAACTAAGCATAAGCAAATAATTAACATTATTTTAATTTTCATCCTGGTTAACTTTGTAAAAGATATTTGTAAATATATTATAAATTAATGTTCAATTAATTATACTCAATTAACTACTTTACCATAGATCCAGCAACAATTGATCCAGGCACAAATCCAAATTCACCCAGACCTATTATGAGACCAATGTATGTTTCCTTAACGCCACGTTTATGTGCCTATAATTTTAGTTAATATATAAACTTAATTTTTATTATAATATTTTAAAATTATAAATCAAACCTCGGATGGAAAGAATGGTCCCTGAATTGAAAAAGCGGTTCCAAAACAAAAGTTACCAAAACTTAGTATTGATATTAAGATTATCTCTCGTCGAGTGAATTCAGTTTTGAACAATAATTTAAATTTTGACCACAAATTCACTGATTCTTTACTGATTTGTTTGACATACATATCAGTGCTTTTGTTATAATTATTTTCATTCATATATTTCTCATTTACTTTAGTAGTGTTCATATCTGAAAATTAATTTAAGAATAATGTTTAATATTTAAATAAATAAAATAAAATTGCATTTTATTTAATATTTTACTTAAAATGGGTCCAAAAATGAGCAAAATGTTCTATAATTGATTTGTATAATAAAAATATACTTAAATCTATTCATCAAAAATAACTAAGTTTTTAATAAAATAAATAACTCAAAATATAAAAATTTTAACAAAATAATGTTTTTATCATTTTTAATACATATATTGAATTGAATTAATTTTCTTTTTAACTTTTATTTATATAGAATTTTAGAAAATTGTTTAAAATACAGTTAATTATTGCACTAAAATTTTGTAACTACTGTATATAACTATAGTACAATTATGTTACAATTATTTTTATAATACTCTAGGTACTGTAAGTACAGTACAATTAAGCAGTTAATTTTGTTTATTATTACTAATAATAATAAATTTTTGTTATCAATAAAATACTCTAATTTATAATATTTTCATTTAAATATAAAGTAGTATTGTTGATAATAGTGTGTTTTATTTTATTATTGTTATTATTATTGTAAAATTATATATATATATATATATATATATATATTGTTTTTTTTGTAAAAATGTAAAAAGTGATTTTAAAACTAGTAAATTAAGGTAGAGTATTTATTGTACTAAAATAAAAAAAAATTTAATCTTGCTGTAGCAGTAATGTAAAATAAATTTTATAAATTATTTATAGTTTCATATTAATTCAATAACTTTATCTTAAGTTTATATAAGTTGATATTTGCATCTTTCAATATTATTAAATTATCTATAAGTTTATACGGCTAATCTATATTATATTATCTAAATCCGTCTAAGCATTAGTACATTGATATCATTAGTATAATTAATAGTTTAATCAATTTGATATTATATAAGGAATCTGTTATACATTTGGATAATAAATGATGTGAATCGAAATTAACTCAATACACTAATATAACATTTAGTTTACATGTGATGTACAGTATTAGTACAAAAGTATAATCAGTTATAAGTTATAACTAATAGTGAATTTCCTTAAAATATTATAATATATAAATTCCCTCAAATTCTTATAATTTATTGTAAATACTATTGTAATATATAATAAAATACCAAATTATAAGTACATTAAAATAATATTATTACTCGTAAATATGAACTTAATCATTTATATATTTAATTGCTTATTTATTATATTGTTAATATAGTCGATACTTTAACCTCAATGATGTGACAATGAAATTTTTATCATTACTTTAAAAAATAATAATTATAAACAAAAGCTATTATTAATATAGAGTATATTTATTTTATTTAAAATTTATTATAAATACAACTTAATAATATAATTAACTAAATACAAAAAGTATAAAGTATTAACTAAATATTTATTTATCTATTAATAATTGTATTTAAGATAAAAATAACTTATTTTAATACAGCTTTAGTTTGTATTTTCAAAAATATTACATAATGTGGTGGTGTTTTAAAATTATAATTTTAGTTCAATAAATAAATATTATTAATTATATTGAAATATATTATTATTGTTGTTGTTTATATTATATTTAATAATCATTTACATACAATCAAGTATTTACAGTCTACATATACATTATTTAATTGTTTAGACGTAATTTTAAACTCTATTATTTTGTTCAACTTTATAATAAATAAACAATTATTATATTACTTTTATTATCTTTATAAAGTATTGACAGTTAGTAATATAGGTGTAATATATAGTAAAAAATATCGAAATACTAAATGTTTTTTATTACAAAATTATTAATACTATATTTAATCAAATTATACTGTATAAAGTGTTTATATCAATTTACACAAAATAAAAAGTATAATAATTATATTATAATAAGCAATCAATTAATTAACAAATAGTTATAAATTTAATACATTTTTTATTTGTATCATATATTTTACTTTCACTACATGTATTACCAATCAAATACCTATAAATCATATTATGAGTCAAAATACTAAAATATATAAATGATAACAGTGTTCATGTATTTATAATATGGCTTTCAAATGAATTATAATTAATAAATTTTCCATTAGTTATAAAATGTATACATTTAGTCAAAAAGTATTTTATTCATAACATTTAACAAAAAAATTTTATTCAATGATTTGTCGTTATCTGAGGACATAATTATAAAAAAGTCTATTACTTACACAATAGACAACATAAGTCCATTCGTATTGATTTATAAAAATAATTAATTAAAAATTAGTAGTTACTAAAATATATTGATAAAATTTATGAATTTTTAAAAATGTTTTACATAAATACACTTCTCATAATTAAACGAAAAATAAATTATTTTATAGATAGTATAATATAACATTGTATAGTATTATTAGATTGTTATTATATATTGTTAATATATTACTAAATAAGGATTATACAGTATATAAATTAGTAATATTATACAATTTAGAGCTTTGAGCGCATTAATGCTAAAAATAGTATATAAGTATTAATTTTTATAAATAGTAATTGCTTTTTATTGTTAATTGCTTTTTGTAATTAAAAATAAAAATGCCATAAATTTTTGTTATAGTTTATCACACACACAACACTGCAAAAAACAGTGTATAAATTAGATTATTTAATATTAAATATTATATTTTTCTTAGAAAAATGAAATAAAAATGAATTCACTGTTTAGTGAAATAATGTTTGTATTTTCATTTGTATTACTTATTATTTTAATAATTATATTCATATCAGTACTATATTTGATGCGATTCTTTGACTTTGCTGGAGATAACCAGTGGCCCAGTAGTCAAATAGATACTGTTAGAAGTGGAGCACCGACACCTATTGCCTACCAGAGCACACATATTATGTTTAAAGGCAATCAATTGTATGCCATCGATATGGAGAGGACTTCGGCCGACATCAGGACATCTTCTGTGTTTAGCAATGATGTCGAAAATGTTTGACTTCATTGCCATCACTCACTTCTGTCTTAAATAATTTAATTTTAATATTTATTTATAAACCAATTTGTAATAAAATACAAAAAGTTTAATAATAATAATAATTACGTTAATATCAATTAATGGTTATTTATTTTTATATCAAAAAATACAAAAATGTAATTTTAAATTGAATGACATATTTATTACATTTATTTATTTGTAAAACATTAAAGATTTACAGAAAAAATGATCAAATATTTGATAATCAATTAAATTTCAAATGATTTCTCTTTAAAATAATATGTGATTCTTCCTGTTTGTGGAACAGATATCTTAATGTGTTTGAGTTTTCTAAACTCTTTCATCAATTCCTCGTCGACGACGGGTATCACATGGAAGAAGTTAGAGCACGGATTAATATCAACAGTCTGTATGTGTGGTAACTTTGACAATGAAACCAATGAGTTGTGAGTAATCATAAATGAAAACAAATCCAAGTGTTGAAGTCGTGGCAAATGGACGGCAATATTGTCATAAAGAGTGGGAACTAATGTCGAGCAACAACAGGTCATTGACAGATGTGTCAATTGCTTCAATCCATTCAATGATTCACTTGTTATGGTATAGTTCTCGGGAAAGCATCCGGTAATTGATAAACGCTTCAATCGTTTCATATTTTCATTGATTGTCTTAAATAAGTTGTTCAACATTTCATTTGGACAATAGTTAATAAAATTTCCTAATTTTATTACAAATTTTTTCAGTTGATCACAGTTTTGACCCAATTGTTTCATGTGATTCGTTACTATAGATAATGGTTGTGTCCATTGCATCTCATAAATGTCATACTCGACATCAAAATCAATTAGTTTTGACATTTGAGACAAACTACTAATGAAGACATCCAACGATCGTTTATTAATTGATTTGATTGTCACGTAAACTGATTTGATTTGTGACTTATAATTGTTAGCAAACATTTCAAACTGATTGACCACTTGATCGGTGTAAACAATAGACAAACGGCTCAACTTTGCAAAACTGACCACTTGTTTGTCTAGTTTGGTGACCGTATCAAACAATATCATATCAAACGGTTGAAAGCGATTGTCAATTGATACCAAATTTGATAAGTCTTTGACATATTTGTTTAAAATGTAATCGTATTTCAATTCATTATTATTATAAACCAAGTCTTGGCTCTCTGTGACCCAAATCAACGCACATTTCTTCAACTGTTTGGCAAACTTTTCAAAGAACAGATCCAATACATTAAAGCTTAGTTTATGAGAGTAAGCGACGATATGAACCAATTGATGACAATGTGTTACCAATGATATTAGCATATCTTCAGTGAGAGGAAAACTCTTTGTAATAATGTCCACATTAGTCAAGAGTGCAAACTTCTTGAGTGTCCAATCAAAGGATAAATTGTCTTTGGTTTTCAGCAATGAATTAACATTTAAGTCATTAATCATTAAATCCTTTTGTGTCTTTGGTATCAATCGTTGCCATTGTTTGGATACACATTCGTAGCGCAACTTGTGGTTAATTGAGAGATAACTGATGACATATTCACACATATCGTCACCGAACCGATCAAATGAATCTCTTGGCAATTGTCTGGTCATTACTTTGGATGTCATCTCTGCTTSTRATCAWCAAAATRGACGACAAATGTGTTTTAAATGCAATCAGTGGTCAAATCAATGTCACAATAGTTGTCATAAATAATGACTGTTTTATTCAATAAACACTTACTTACAGTCAATGTATTGAAAAGTTTAGTCAAAGTAATGAATTACTTAATCATAAAATAAGTAAAAAATTATTTCAAACAATAATATTAATTAACGCAAAATTTTTATTTTACAAAATCCCATACAATTGCTTACATTTAACCCATTTAATCAATTGTCACTAATAATAATAATAAAGTATTTTAATTAAGTATTAACTGAGATATAGTTTAACCATTAATGAGAAGAAACTTTTGGGTATCTCTTCGACGGTGGCGTTGGCGGCGCCGCCGCCGACGGCATTCATATTAGCCATTGTATCGCACTTTTGGTCATAACTTTTAAACAAATCGCAGACATAGTTAATAACATCACCGGAATAGCCATCGATYAGAGACTCTATAGTTTTGGTGGTCATTGCGTCACACATGTGGTCATCGGTGGTCACTTGATTTGTGGCACATTTGCGATACTTATGATAATTGCTAAACAATTAAAAAAACGCAGTTTTTATTACAAATAAAAAGTTTTACACAAAAAAACTCTTGACTTTTACCAACAAATAACAGGCATTTTGGCGTTTTGTGACAACTGATGAATCCCTTGAACTCTATCAATGAATTGTTGCAAACAATTGGTTTGTTTTGCATTCAATTTGTTAAGACATTTGGCACCACTGATGATGAGCTTCTTTGTCCGCCAATTCTTCGAACAGATCCTCTGGTTCTGTGAGACGACACTATTGATTAAAATAGTGACCGTTTGGTGAGCCGATGGCGACAAACACTTCACGGAATGATTTCTAAGACATTTCTCTTCCTTTTTRTAATTACTATAAGAAATCATTTGATTTAAAAAAATTTAATTAATAATACAGTATTTACAGTAAAGCGCTTTTACTTAATTTTTAAAGACATTTATTGTTTAGTGATTTTGATATCATTTGCTAATTATGTTTAAATCAATATTTTTTGTTTAAAAGTTCAATCATTTATTATGATATTTATGTATTTATTATAAGTAATTAATAATCAAATTGTAAATAAACTTAAAATAATAGTAATAGTAAAAAATAAATTTTAGTAATTAGTATTAAAAATTGATTTTGTTTTTAATTAAATGGTTTGATTGTCAGCAGAAACTATTGATCGTCTAATTTCAATAAATGATTTCATCGATGAATCGCTTAAGACAAGTCCCATATCAGCCAAAGCTAATAATATATGATATAAAAACTGAATTATAATTACAAAACATTTTGTTATATATTCCCATAGTTTGGCCAACCATTTGCCGATTTTCTTAAAAGCCAAACTAAACTCATTAAAAGTATTTTCAAAAACATTTTTATCCTTTTTATCTTCACTTTTACTGACTTTAGTCTCATTATTGGTTGTATTAACCGATAGTTTTGATTCTTTCATATTATTGATTATTGGTAAATGTTTTTCATCATTACTGTCAATAATTTTATTATTAATAAAATTAATAATCCAAACATTTTCTAAAGTATCGTTTATAATTACATCTAAAATAACAATAGTTAATAAAAAGTATTTAAAATTTATTGATAATATATCTAATATAGTTGAAATATATATATATATAATATATTCAATTAAATAATTGTAATGTGTATTACCATCAGATTTATCCAAAAATAAATCAGTATCTTCGTMAATTGTTTGACAATTTATAAATATTGCATTAAATAAAATAAAAACTAATATTAATATCATTTTATAAAAGCAATTTAATGTTTGTATAAACTACTTTTGCATTTAAAATTCAAATGTTTATTTATTTTAAAAATTTACACTTTTTCGCGCTCAATAAATAATTAATAAATTTAATATCTATATTAAATAAGAGTTTTTGTATCAGATTTAACAAAACATATAATATTAAACAAATTTTATGTTAATATAAATTATTTAACTAACTATATTTATTTACTAATATCAGATTATTTATAAGTTATGACTATAATTAAGCATTAATAATAAAAATTAAATAATTAATAATTTTTTATTATTTAAGTAACTTTTAAACTTTTGATTCAAAAATACTACACAAAAAACATAATATCATTAATATATTTTTAAAAATAAAATAATAATTTAAATAAACGAATAATAAGACCAATGAATACCTGCAAAACTTATTCAATTCATCGACAGTTTGTGGCATTCGTTGTCTTCCAATTAAAACCATTCTTCGACCGCATTCTTCCACTTCTTGCTCTTCGGCATCACATTCAGGGTTGTTGTCCACGTGATCATTGGCTATCACTTCAATTATTTAAATTAAWATATATATAAAATAAAAATCTAAAGTAATCATATTAATCCAATATATTATTAATATAAATTAGCAAATTTAGTAAAATTAAAATTATCATAATTACCAATTGTATAAAAGGTAATTAAAACTAAAATATTTTTATTCACATAATTAACTAGCAACATTTCTGAGTATTAATTTGATATTTAAAAATTAAAAATTATTTCAATTATATATTAATTTCTTTATAAAAACAGATATTAATTTAAAACTAATGAAATGAGTCACAAAAAATAATACATTGAATATAAATAATTTTTTGTTTTAATAAAACAATACAAATAATAATTACTATTAAATAAATACAATATAAGGGAATTATTATAACATAACATAGAAAGAGAAACAATTGATTTAATGGCTATTTTTAAATATTTCTATTTAAAGGTATTCCGCAACATACCAGTGCTTAATATACATAAGCCAAATGCCAGGTTTATGAATGTATGAGTTGTAAAGCATATTAAACAAGTTATATACTATATTATGTTTTTTCAAATTGCTTTGTTTATATCTGATTATAAATTCAAATAAAAAAAGATAATATTTTTTCTTGTTATTAACTGGCGTTCAGTGATATTAAGAGTTATGATAAAGTAATAGATATTTTTTATATTTATAGTATAATTCATGTTTGAGGCAATGATAATGTTTTACGAGTTTTAGGAAAAACCGTTTAAACTAATTGTAATGATTTAATGTTAAAAATTTAGCAATTTTTAGTATCCAATTTAATGTGCAGTATTGAAAATAAAGTAATAATAATAAAATTAATATTAATAATACTGTATTAGTAATGTTATGGATATAGTCATTACTGATGATTCAATACGGCATTGAAAATATTACTCATCCCAAGGATAGTTAGATTTTTATGATGAACCCGTTATTTGAATAAATTGATTGCATATTAATATATTATTAAATTTATAAATACTATATATCTACATATATGTATGTTAATAATTACAATAAACTTTAATAACACTGTAATGATTTAAAGTTAAAAGCTATCAATTTAAGTAAATTAGACAAAATTATATATTTAAATGTATGATCAATCAATAAACACTAATCGTTTTGATTGTATAAAAAAGTTACAGTATATAAATTGAGTAAATTTGTTAAATAATAGTTATTATTATTTAATACTATAATTGAATTTTTTAATAATTATAAAATTTTCTAAAATGTTATAACCAGGGTTAAAAGTTTAACTTAAAACAATGGGATAACTTATCCCGGATAAGGATAAAGGCATTTTTATATCCTCTTTCTCTGAAAAAAGATTTTCGAATTTACCCCCCCCCCCGCTCACCCCTCCTAGATTATTTGTCAAAATTGAAAACGGCCTAAAAAATAAAGATAAATTGATCCACACTCAAAATTATGATATAAATTGTCATCATTGATGTTATTTTTTAAATATAAATGTGTGTTAACGGTAATAATTACGGTAAATATATATAATATTGTAAAATAGCAATAAAATAGCAAATACTGTAATAACACTATTATTTATAGATTAGTGGTAAAAGAATTTAAAAATATATATTTATGGAAAATCAACAAAATTAAAAGTATATATTATTTTATTATACATATTATAAATTATCTGTAATACATGACAATAACATTTTTATACTTTATTATATGATAACAAATTTTTAATAATCTATTAATATTTCAAAAGCAAATCTATAAAATCAAAAATAATATAAAACAATATTTAATATAACTCTTGAGTTGTWATTATTTGTGGCACTTTTGGATACATACTATCCGTATGAATACCGGTTACCCAATCAGCACAGTCAGCATCAGAGCACCGGAATATCTTAATATATCTTAAACTTGTGACTGCAGTCAGTGATGGCAACAAWTTGTTTGTCAATCGTATATTTTCCACAACAAGACTGCGAAGATTCGGCATATTTACAGCAATATCGGCAAAGAACTCATCTTTAAGAACATCTTTATCCGAAATAATAGCCAATGAAGTCAATTGTGATAAACCATTCAATGAACTTATGGTACAATTCTTTGGCAAATAAAAGTCACCAATAAGTTGAAGTGATTTCAATTGTTTGAAGTATTGATTAATTATAGGAAATATAATATCAAATAATTTTCTTGTTCTTCGTTCACCAGTAAGTGATAGTTTGCGAAGTTTATTGCATTTCAAACCAATTTCTTTCAACATTTGGGCCAATATTTCTAAAAATTCACTCTCAAAGTACTCGTAATTGATCTCCAAATAAGTTAATTCTTGCATTTGTGTCAAACCAGTTGTAAATTCATTGATAACAGTTTCATCACAATTATCATTGATATCTATATAAACTGTAGTGATTTGTGTCTTATATTTGTCGATAAATTCATTAAACAGTGTCACATCTTCATCGGTCAAATCGATGGCAATCTTTTGTAATTTATGAAACATAACATCACTTGTGATGAGTTTAAGGCAGTCATTAGTTTCGCGATTAGATATACAGTCAAAGCTCTTGAGATTTTTGCAAATCTTGATATTCCTGAAGATAGTACCGATCATAGTGTCATCAAAATCAGCAAAGTTTAAGCCAATTGTTTCCAACTTTTTGCCAAACTTTACAAACAACTGATCCAATACAGTGACACTCAATTTGCGACTATACTCAATGGTCAGATGTCTTAATTGATGACAATATTTCATCATTGATTTCAACCGTCTATTACTGGCCGCAAACTCGCGACTTCTGAATTCAACTTTTGTCACATTCGGACACTTCTTGAAAAGTGTGTCAAACAAGTTGTCGGTCATTGATCTTTGCCGACGATAATTGAATTTGTCTAACACTAGTACTGTCTGTGTCTTGAGTGCCAATCGTTGCCATTGTTTGCAAACACATTCATAGTATAGCTTATCCTCTAATGACATGTAAGACAACAACAGTTGACACAAATCATCGCCGAAGCGATCAAACGATTGTCTTCGCTGTGAATCACTTCGCAGACACCGTCTCTTCGCTGCTGTCGATGACATGGATTTTATGGCAAACTATTTGTTAGGATATTATCTGTCAGTAAATAAACAAAACTGAAATAATAGATAATATGAGTAATTAATTCATTTAAATATTAGTTTTTAATTACATTTAAATCAATTGATTTGAGTTTTTCACAAATTTCTTAACAAATTATTATTAATTTCTAAACATTATTATTGACTGCAATGAGTGATACAATGTTTGCWATTGTATTGCTTTAGTAATGCCCTCTCTTTTCAATGATTTTATGTTTTTATTTTATGTCATTWTTTAGTTTTTTTTGTTTAATTTTTCAAATAAAAGTTAATTAGTATAAATTGAAACTGGTATTAATTATAATAATTATGATATAAYTTGTAATATCATATTTTGTTATTTTTTATTTTGTTATGTAAATTATTGATAATGAAAAAAATATTTTTAAAAATTTATTTAATAAAATTATTTAATACATTAATTTTATTTAAACTAATTTATAAAAATATAAATCATTTAGTAGTTTAAAATATCATTTAACAAAGTTTTYAAAAATTATTTTAAAATATATAATTTTGGAAATTTAACAATTGCTTATATTATTGATAAAAAAATTATTAATAATAATTGCAATAATTAAATAATATTTTACACGATATCAGTGATTGATATGTTTGATAGTTTAGGACAATAATAGTCACAAAAATCTTTAAACAAATTATTAGCCGCACTAACAAAACTAATAGTTGGTTTCATTACCAAATTAAAAACTGTGATTTAAAAAAAATTAAATTATAGTAAAATTGTGCATGCTTATTATCAGACCAATTATCATTCAAACTATTATCTCTTAGTTTGTTTATCAACAATCATTGTTATCCACCAATTAAAATATCAGTCCATTTGTCATAATTTTTGAAATATAATTGTTATTAAAATTTAATTTCTTTAATCCGGTTAATCCTTTGAAACATATTTGCTAATAGTTTTAAGTTTTGTATTAACAATAGTAAGACTATATAACTGATAGTTTGTTCTAAAGGCCAGATCCGGGAGCTCTTTGATGGCAATCATTTCAGTGATAATATGATTGTACGAAATCAACCAATTAATTAGTGATAATAAACTTACAGTTGATGTGAAAAGCGGCGAATTTCTCAATTCAAAGTCATGACAACCGATCTTAAGGTTGTTTCCATAAATATCTTTAATATAAAATTAATGTCAACTAATTTCAAATTATTTGCAATTAACAGATATTCAAATGTAAATTTTTCAAAGGTATTAAAATCAAGTTCAAAGATATCTGTATTAACAAAATGATCTGTCGTTTTAAGCTGACATTCATAGCCATGATATAAATCAATTATTAATATTATCACAATTGTTGAATTCAATTGCATATATTTAAAAAAATAAATAAATGATTTGTTAGTTTAATTTTGTGTATTGAAAATGATAGAGACTAAACTGGCTATAATTATTGTAAAATTGCAAAATTTTTGTTAATAAGTATATGTTTATTCAAATCTCTTTATTATTAATTTGTTTGTAAATCAATTAGTTTAAAACTATATTTACATAACAATTTTTTTGCAAAAAAATTAATTGAATGAATGAATGAATTGAATAAAATTAGATATAATTTAATGTAGTATTTTTAACATAATAACAATTAAATATATTATATAAAAGTTAAATTAATATTCTACAAAATAAAAAACAATTTTAGTTATATTAAAAAAATAATTTAATAAATATTGCAAATATAAATGTTAATTAAGTAATTTATTATTTAATTAATATTATTTTCTACAACATTTGCTGGACACATTAAAAATATTTAGTTATATTTAAAATTTATTATTTTTATAATTATCAACATTATAATTACAAAATTCAACTTACATATTTCAAAATAAGTTAAAACATATTAATATTTAACTTATRTAAAATATTTTGAAAAACATATACTATACTTAATAATTTTTATATCATCTTTACAATTAATTGTATATAAAAATTGTGTCATAACAGTTATTTTTATTAATTTAGATTAAAAATATTTTAATTCAAATAATTTACACAACAGTAAATATAAATATCAAACAAAACWTAACATTTAAATAATACTTTACTAAATTGTAAAATAAACTTGTATTTTAATTTTAATACATACATTTTATAATAATTTTAGTAATAAATAATTATTTTTATAAATTTATTTAAAGAATAAATATTTAGTATATACTGTATATAAATATATATATATACAAATACAGTAATAGTTTTCAGTTATTTTATAAAATGGTTTCATTGGTCGAAGTTCGGGGACCGTTGACCGCCGAATACCGGGACGAACAGTCACGATGTGTGACCGAAACGGTATAATTAGAGTATAGAAATAAATCGGTAAATGTTTGTCTAAATTGTTTAGACATTCCGCAATATATGGCAAAATTGATTGGATAGGACAGTATGATAAAGAAATTAGTAAACAATACAGTCGTGTTCAGCGATTCATATTCAGCTATTTCAATGGACAGTGCGTTTTGCATGACATGCAACAGTGTTGTCACAGCTAACGGGATTTCTAGCATCAGGAATACCGTTACAATCACTATCAACATAATGGTAGTTGAGTTGGAGTCCCGTAGTTTAATGCACTCACTCTTGCGGTTTTCGGTAAACAATTTTTCTCGTTTTCGTTGAGATTTACGCAAAGCTTTTAATAATAGTACGTTTAATAGGACTAACAGAGCACAGGGACCGATGTGGACAAACACTATACGAAAACCGTAATAAAGTATATAATATGTGTCTTCACCGATGCTATCCTTTACCTTTGATATTATAAATAAAAAATACTTGTTATAAAATTTTTAGCTTAAATAAGATGCAAAACAAACCCATTTTGCGGTTTCAAACTGACAACCCGTTCGGCGACTATTAATCCAAATAAATTCAATTGCAGTGAACTCCCGGTCCGCAAATCGGGTGCTTTGATGACATAAAGCCATTATAAATATAATAATCATCGCTTTACACACCCGGGGAACTGTACACCACGTGCGGGCTGTTGTTAAATGGCATACATATATGTATCTGAAAATTTAATAAAATCTTAAACTATAACAATTAAATTTAAATACAAATTAAATAGTATACAGTAGATAGATATATATTACTAATTTTTAATTGATGTAAAATTTACTATTTTATTTAAGTAAATAAACTAATATTTCAAATTAGTTAAACTGTAATTATTTTCAAACTACATTGAAAATGACAATACAGTTAACATACTGTATATGTGCTACAAGTTTGACATTGTTTTAAAAATGTGTGAATTATATAAAATAAATGGTATATGCCATCAATATCAATGGTCATCACTGGAACAGATTTGGGTCAATTGGGAAAATACTACTAACTCTATAATATGTACAGTTGTTTTCTAACACATCCCTGTGCTGTCAACATAAAAAATAATAACAATAACACTATAGATGTTTAGTTTGATAGTTTTTTCTTTATGTCTTACATATCTTGTATGTATAAAATTATATGTAATATATAGAAATACATAATATATTATTGAGAACATTGTGTTATTTGAGTGTCATATCTGTTAGTGATGTACTCAACAATATTACTAAAAAAATAAGATGACAACAAAATTTTGTGTCAAACACACATCAAATAAAAAGACTATTTTTATGATTAGCTATTTATTAGACATAAAAATAAAAACTGTGTTATATGATCTGTGTTATCATTTTTTGCTGTTTATTATTATTAATAGTAGAAAAATATATTGGTATTGCATGTAAAGTGTTATTTACTGTATAGTTATCAAAATTATTTACATAATAAAACATTTTAGATGTAATTTTAGGTTAATAAAAAAGCTATAATATAGTATTTACAGTAGTATTATAATATAATATAAAAGTAGTATTTAAAAGATAATTATTTTTATCAATCAGATTATAATCAGAATATATATGAGAATCAAATAACAACATTCCTGTGATTCTTGAAATATACTAAACTAACAAATAATATAATAAAATATAWATTTATAATTTAGATGTCGAAAAATTCCTGATTTAATGACATATACATAATATTAACTTATTTACAGACATATTATATTATTTTATATAAGTTAAARACAGAATATTAATAATAAAAATTTATTATTTATTTTATTTGTATTTAAAAGTATAATTTTATTTATTTAACTTAATATAAAATTTAAATTTGATAGTAATAAATATACTAAATTATGTTAATAATTTTTAATAATATTAAATTAAAATTAAATTAATGGCAAACCTTTGTCCGGCCAACAAAAGTGTGAGCCATATGGACGCCGTGTGAAAAAATGCGGGCAAAACTTCAATCATCAAATGATAGGCATAGCAGGCACTGCACGGGTAGAGTATCTTATTGTGATTACCAAATGTATACATATAGAAATACCACGGTGCCGGGAACAGTAGTGTTAACAGGTCAGCTATAGCCATTGCCAATAGTACTAAATTAGTGGGTGTCCGCATATGACTCTGGGCTAATACTATTACTATTAGAGTGTTGGCAATAATAGTAACGATCAACAAAAACGGCATAATATAACCAAATAAGACAACAGCATATTTGTACGGAACATCACGGGTTATATTCACGAGAAATGGGATTTCATTCCTGTTTGCAGTAGAAAACAAAAATAAATTTCTAAGTTATAATCAAAATTTTAAAAAAATGTTTGAAGTAATTTAACAAAAAAAACTACAATAATATATTAATAATAAATTCTTAACATATTTATGTCTCTCTACTTTAGTAATAACAAGTAAAATATTTACTAATTTTTAAGACATGTTATCGCAAATTATAGAAAATATTTTTATCAATTTTTTTGTAAATAATTATATTAAATATATAATAAAAAGCATAAAACTAACTTTTTTTAAATTAACAACATTAAGATTTTTCACGTATGACAACTTCATAAAATAATTATATTAAAATACTTTTACAAAAAGTTTTATATAGTGTTAAATATTTCTACTATTAGATAAATGAAATTGATAAAGAAAAAGTTTATTAAATATCTCACAAAAACACAATAAAATTTAATTAATTAATTTATTTTATTAATAYAATTATTTATAAATAACTTGTTATACAAATAAATAAATGCCAAAATGTATTTCAATTTAACCATATTGTTGATGTTATATTTGAAAAAAGAGTATATAAAACAAAAGTGACATAAGATTATAATAATGTAAACTAAACCGTGTGTTTCACTTGAATTGTTAGACAATTCATTAAATGACATTTGTCTGCAATGACACCACAAATTCATTACTGAAATTACTGTATATTTTTTGGTATTCATTTAGTGTAAGAAAAGAATAGAAGAAATTTCTTAAAATAAGTTTATACTAAAGCCTTATAGTTATTACTGTTATTATTATTAGTAGTATTTGTTTGTATGACTTCACTATTGTATTACTACACTACTACTACTATTACTATTACTATTACTACTACAATACTAGACAGTAGTATACACTGTAATGATGTAATATGTGGTATGACATGAATTAAAATTTTAAATGTTAGCTGAAGTGGATGTGAAAAATGATTTTATGTTCAAATTGAATATACAATGTTTCTAATGCTTTAATTACACTATTTTATAATGTGATATGTTTTAGGAGAAAACATAGAAAAAGATATAGAGAAAGATAAATTTATTAATAATTAATTATATTATGAGTTGTTTTTATTAAATAAATTAACTTTAATATATAAATTATTTTTATTGCGTTGATGTTGAATTTAATAAATAATTAATTAATAAAAATATATATATATATATATTATTTTATAATTAAACATAATGCAACAAAATGTAAATATTTAAATATTAATTAAATTAATATATAATACTTTTTTTTATTTAAAAATTGTGAAAATATATTTATTTAATTATTAGAAAAAATAGTTTAGCTCATTTATGATTGGCTATAATAAAAAATAATACTATAATAATAATAAATAAAACAAAAATGTTTTGTAGCCAAATATGCGGATCAAATTTGTATTGATTTCAATCTGAATCTTATTTACAGTAATTTACAACATTTTTCTCATATTTTCACAAATCAACCAAAAAAGTTATCTTAGATTCTGGTATTTTACTAATGTTTGCTATGACTATAATTTAATATAATATTCCAAAAATGTTAGAATAAATAATTAGATCCAATAGTTATTTGAATTTTATTTATAATCCGTCATTATTAATGACATACAGTACTAGTACTGTATATCAATAAGAAATTATATTAAGTATTATAAATAATTTAACAATACTTTACATACCATTTAGGCAGAGATGATATATTAGTGGTGCGAAAGGTTTCATTGAAACAAATAGACGATTGGTTGACATTAAACTGATATTCAGTCAAAATAGTCACCGGATTTATGTTGAGTGAGATCTCAGTTGTCGTATAATAGCTATAATCCATGGCTTTAATACACGTTTTTATGTCACAATTTCATATCTCCTTTAATATTGAGTGCAAAATCTTTCAATTGAGTCCAATACAGTAATTATGCCATTTATTACAGAAACTTACTAAAAGAGTTAGTTTAACTAAATTTTAATTAATTTGCAAAATTGTTGCACTCTTTACGTAATTATTATAGCAAAYTATGTTTATAAAAATAAGTTATTTGATTTATAACTTATGATAGTGTAATTATATTAAGTTAAAAAACAAATAATAATTAATCATTTTAAATCATAAATAAACTACAAAATACATTTTGCAAAACTTTTAATAACATTAGTATAAAACTTATTTACTAAAAATACTTAATATTAAAATAAAATAAATATTATTTAAAAATCTTTTGAAAAATCCAACACAAATACAATTAGATTCAATAAATAATGTGAAAAAATAAATTTAGTCAAAAAACTTAATTATAATGACGACAAAAATAAATGTTGTTAAAAAACAATGTTAGCGCCAATAAAGCAATACATATTGTGTTACAACAACTCCCTGTACTCTAACAGTGCAACTGAATGACTGTCTATAACTGTCTGTTCAACAACTGAACACTAACTATGAGAGACAGGAACAGGGAGTTAATGCCCACTCTATTTTCATGCATATATTGATTATATAGACTCTCTCTCTCTCTCTCTCTCTCTCTCTCTCTCTCTCTCTCTCTCTCTCTCTCTCTCTCTCTCTCTCTCTCTCTCTCTCTCTCTCTCTCTCTCTCTCTCTCTCTCTCTCTCTCTCTCTCTCTCTCTCTCTCTCTCTCTCTCTATCCCTCTATTCATCAGAAAAAATAATAAAACATTTCATATGTGACACAATTTATTAAATTATATAATCTCTATATTTTTTTAAGTCAATAGAGTTTCCAAAAATAGTTAAATAAATTTTTACACCGAAAAATCTAGTGAACAACACTTATAAATTAATAACATTTTGATAACACAAATAAATAAAATAAATAGAAAATTACTTTTACCTATAAGTTATCTGTGAAAATAAAAGTTATAAATATTAAATACAACGTAAAGCAGATCTCAAATATAATTTGTTTATTTAGAATAGTTTTCTAATATTGCATACAATTGTTTAACTCTATTGCTTAATGCTTTTGATAACTACTGTACATTACATTATCATTTCATTTATATTTAATGCAATAATGTGTTGAATATATATGAGTATATTATAAAATCTAAATACATAAATAACTTTTGTAACACTTACAGTGTGTTAACAATATAATTATTATGTGAAAAGTTGACTTAATTTAGAAATATATTTAATATACAAAATATTATAATTATATTATATTAAACAATTTGTATACGAAATTAAATTTAGTTATATTTGTTAGTAAACAAAATTTTCAAAATATTTTAGTATTTTTTAAATATTTATTTGATTATTTGAGTAAAATCTGCTTTTGGTATTAAATTTAATTAAATATTTAAAATATTATTAGATAAATATATTACATTTAGATAAATAAAATTATCAAATAAATTATATATTTAAAACCAATAAAAACATGTTTAATCTTATTTATGAAAGATTAAGTTTAGTAATTTTTATAGTAAGTTACAGTATTTTTATCGAATATATACAATATTTATGTTTTTCATGTTTAATTCATTGAGTAACTCATAATCTTTATTGATATATAGTAAAAAATATAAGTGCAAATACAAAATTAAATATACTAATATTTATTTTTTTATCTAATAACCAATTAAATTAACTATATATTTATTTTTCATTTATTTTTTATGGCAAAAAAATCTGAAATAACACTAATTTTGCTGAATGTCTAACAAAAATTATCGGACCGTATAATGTTGGAAAAATAAATAACAGTATTTAGCCACTAATTTAGCTTGGTCATTTTATTTGTTGTGCACTATAACACAATTATTTTATATTATATAATGTAAACTATAAATAAAACATTTGATTTTATTTATTTAAAGTAAAGTTTTGTTAAATAATAACTATAGAATTATGATTACTAAAAATCATTTTATCTAAAAAAATAAATAAAATAATTCCTTAGTTATTATTTAACAAAACATTATTTTCAAAGTTTTATTTATTTATAGTGTAACTAATAATGGTAATTGTGTGATAGTAAACAAACAATAAATGACCAAGTTAATTTAATAACTAAACTACTGTTATTTGTTATTTTTACAACATTATTACAGTCCAACAATTTTTGTTAGACATTCAGCAAATTTTCTGTTATTTTAGATCGTATTATAAATTATAATAAATTTTTAGTTTACATTATTAATAAAAAATTTTGTTTTAAGTTATTTTACACCATAGCGTTTAAAATATTTATTTTTAATATATGGCATATATATACTATGTTACACATTTCAAATATTTTTWAAAAAATAAACTTCTTATATAATATAAAAAATTAACCAAAATTATATTTAAAAATCAATAAAATATTTTCAATATTTTTTAATATTTACGCTTTTGTACACTTATTTACCTGCATTACATTGCATTTATATTAAATGTTTATATTTATTTATTAAATTTAGCATATAAACATATATATTTTTTAAATATTATAGACCATTTAACATTATGTGATGATTTATACCTGTATTTTAAAACTATGAATTAATACATTTTAAGATAATTTTATTAAAAAAAAATTTAATTCAAATTTTTGTTATCTTTGCAAACCATATTAAAACAATGTCGATAAAAATAATATATATTTATTTTTGCAAAAATGCATATTTTTCAAAATTATTAAATAAATCATTTCTATTGCAATATGATATCAAATATATAAACTAAAAAATAATTAATTCCAATGTGTTATTCATATATTATTGACAAAATAGTATGAAATAAATTTAAATAAACGAAATAATATTTGTATATTTAAAAAAAAAATTATTTAATATTTTATTTCATCCAAACAATTTAATTTTCTGTATGTTTATTATCTAATTATTAAATAAAAAATATATTGTAATATCAATTAAAAAAAATAATTTTATCTAGTACGTTTTATTTATAATATGGTTATTTAAAATGTTTGTAAACACAACTATAAATACAGTTCTAATAATTAAAGTTATTAAATATTTTAACAAATTTTTAACCAAATTTTTAAATCAATATTTTTCAATATTTATAAACAATAATATTATTTATTTAATGAGTTATAATGTTTCTAAATATAATACTATCTTTTAGTATAAATTATACATAATATCAAACAACTCTTACATTGAGGTTCAGTCCAAATGTTGTATTAATATTTTAAATATTTTTTTAAAAAATAAACTTCTTATATAATATAAAAAATTAACCACAAATGTATTAGTCACAAACAGGTAAGTACTCTAGAGTTCGGGCAAATTTCACAGAGAGGGAAGTTTCCTAATAAAATATTTTATTTCCCTCCATAGCCAGTTAGAAATGAAAATATATATTATATTTCTAAAATAAATAATACCAAAAATTAATTTTTTCCATAAAATTTCATTGAAATATTTGAAAATAAATTGGAATTCAATGAATTTAGTCATACTATTTAACAATTACACTCAAAATATAGTTTAATTCAACATATGTTATTCAAATCTTATAACAAAATTTGTTATCTATGATTCAATAGATGGTAGCACAAGGAAATAGATTCCCTGGGAATTCCCATTGAGTCGGAAACATAGGAACTTTTGAAAAATAAAACTAGGGATGGAATTTGCCAAAACCCCAATTATAATATAACAATTTAATAAAATACAATTACAGTTTCATTAATTTTATTGTTATTTATTACTCCCTCTCTCTCTCTCTCTCTCTCTCTCTCTCTCTCTCTCTCTTTCATCCATTTATTGAGACCTTTGATATAAATCTGTTCAACAATTTGTCTGTACTTAAGCATTGATTCACAGACTTAACATATGATTTAATAAAATCTTGTTGTATTAAACCAATATTGTTTTAATTAATTATAAATAACTATATAAGTTATTATTGGTTTTATGGGGTCAACAAAATTACTGTATACCCCATACAACATAAACCAATATAATATTAATCCATATAAGTCTTTATTTACAATATTTTTTTGTTTCCTATTAGAAACAATTAAATTGTTGTTCAGATAAAGTACATTACAGTCTATCGATGTTATAGTACTAAAATCAATAGCAATATATTAATATAACTTAATGTACAAAATAATAACATCAATATAATTTAAGTAAAAATAATAATGTAATTATTTATATAATTTTGTTTGCAATTAATTTTTACTTAACAAAACAAATTAATTTATTTATAAACACACTTTTTTAGTATATTAAAAGTCAATAAACAGTCACTACAAACTAAAAACCATAAATAAGAAATTAATTAAAAAGTATAGTTTTGTTGTTTATCATTTAATAATTTTGATAATAGATTAAAATAGTTTATATTTATATTAATATTAATTATCTATATATATATAATAAACATATACTAAACTATAGGCATTATAAAGCAATACATTTTTGGCGTAATGTATAGAAAATTTCTAAAGTAGTTAAACAAATGTGTTATTTCTGAGCAAAAGTTAATAGTCTTTGTTTAAAATAACATAGTATTGTAAGTATCTATAAATGATTTATAATCAATATAATAAAAATTATTATTAAATAATATTGTTTTTAATATATAAATTTGAAAACAATGAAAATTTTATATTAATATCTCTAATTATATATAAAATAATTTTTTAKTTTGATCAAAATCGGGAATAATTTTTTTTAATGCGCTTAACTTCATTAAAATTATTTAGAAAATAAAGTATTTATAATTTCTTATGATTATATTTT